CCCGGCGCGGGGGCTCCAGGGAGCCGAGAATTGTGGCCAGAAACCGGTCCTGGGCCGCGTCTGTCTTTCCAAAACCAGGAGCTCTTGTTTGTTTTGCGGAGAGAGCGGTTGTTTTTGTTCTCCTCACGGGGGGAAAGGGAGATTCGGTGTTGGCCGTGAGCGTTTCGAGCCCAAATTAGATTCTGTTCGGCGTGGCCTTGATATTAATATGATCGAACATTTCCACGGCCTCGCGGGGTCGGACTCGGAAACGGCCCCAGGGCCAGGCCTGAGGCGCGTGCAGATCGCCAGGTTAGGTCAGACTTGTTGAAAAGTCCCAGCTCCCCGATTTCAACTTTATTATTTTTTTTCCCACGGCTTCACCGGGGTCCGGGAGGGAGAGGAGCAGCTGCGACGTTGTCCCCGAGTGTCAGCGCCCGCGGGCTCGTCCAGACCCTTTATTTAAAGTCTGGAAATTGGGCCGGCCCCATGGCAGGGTATGTTTATGTTTGAGGGTGTGATTTCTTGAGTAACGCCTGGGTCTCTAAAAACCACTGGGGGCGAGCCTCCGGTCTGACGGTGTCACAAGTTAGCTGTCCTTTCTGAGTCAAACCCAACAAAAAAGGCAAGAGGAAAATCAATAAAGTCCACGTGCTCCCGGGCCTCCTATGGAAAGGGCTGTCTGCGGATGGCCGGATGCCCGGCCATGGGCTGGGTTTGGCTCCAATGGGACAAAGAATTTTCAGAACCGTGAGAAGGGGAGGCTTTCCAAAGTTGAGATCCAAGGCTTCGGTGCGGTGAGAGCTCCCCCGGTGCTTAGGACGCCCAGTGCCCGACTGGAGCCATTTAAAAATGGCAGAAACAGCTGCAGGCCAAAACACACACACAGGAAAACAACCCACAACCCCCTCTCCTGTGGGATTCGCAGTGGGAAGGTTGGAGTTGTCCCCGTCCCCGCCTCAGCCCCTGTGCAAAGAAAGACTTGGTGTTTGGGCCTGAGTCCCTTCTGTCACTGGCCTGGAGGTTAGAAAGGGGCCCAACAAGCTGCTTTTCTCTGCTCCGAGAGGCGTGGTGGGGCCTTCTGCCTCAGCTTCCCGGGCGGCAGAGGCTTCTGCACCCTGACAGCTGCTCCTGTAGGGCTGCCAGCTGCTCTGCAGGGAGGGCAGATGGAGAGATGGGGCTTTCCACCCTGCAGGCCTTCTATCCTGCTGAGCCCACTGTGAGCCAGGCCTGTGGTTGAGGTGGGGGCGTGTGTCTCTCTTCCTCCCTGTGTTTTGGGAAACAACGCATCATGTTCTCTTAAGACCTTAGTTTTGGAATCTCATGGTTGTGTTTCCAGTTCACTTCTTTGCTGTGACCTTGGGCAAACCATGTAACTTCTCTAACCATGGCAACGAGGGACGAGTAAGGTCAAGTCTCCAAAAGCACCTCGCCCAGAGCACAAGAGCACTTGTTAAATGTCATCATTGTCAGGTGGACTTTGTAGAAACTTGGCTTTGTGTATGTGGAGTTTTTTTTGTTTCGTTTTTTTTTGTTTTTGACCCCTTCTAAGCAAAAGGCTTGGCTGTATGGTGCAGTTTTGTCCAGCTCCTGAGAAGCTGGTCTGTGTCTTTACAATGGGTCTTCCAGTCAGCGCCTGAGGCTTTTGGCTGTTTATTAACCGCGTGACCATTAAGTGTGCATTTCACCACTGGCTGGGAGGTGGGCTTGCCAGATTTAGCAAATAAAAATACAGGACGAACCCAGTTAAATTTGAATTTTAGATAAACAACAAAATAATTTTAAAAAATAAATGGTTTTTAGGGCCGGCCCGGTGGCGCAATGGAGAGCGCGCCGCTGGAGAGCGCGCCGCTTGAGAGCGCGGCAGCGAGCGCCGAGGGTCCGGATCCCATGTGAAGACCGGTTCCCGCTCACTGGCTGAGCACGGTGCAGGCGCAGCGCCAAGAGTTGCGATCCTGTTGCCGGTCCCCGGTACGGGCGCGACACCAAGGGTTGCGATCCCGTTACTGGTCAGTAAAAAAGACAAAAAAGGAAAAAATAAATAAAAATAAAATAAATAAATAAATAAATGTTTTTTAGTGTAAGTATGTCCCATGAAATATTTGGGACATACTTATACTAAATAATTACCCATTTATCTGAAATTCAAATTTAATCGGGCATCCTGTTTTATCCAGAGGAGAGCCAAGGTATCTGGCATACTATTCAGCCTGTAAGGCAAGGGTGGTATTTCTCCTCAGCCCCAGTGACCCCAAAAGTGCCCCCCTGCCACCCATACCCTTCCCCCGCCCCCAGAAGAAGCCTGTAACTAGCTGTGGTCTCCCTGTCTGTAGCTGCTGTTGTTTCTCCTCTCCTCTCTGTCTGGTGTCCCAGCACAGCAGGCTGTTGGGGGGTGAGATGGCCAGAAGATGGCTGAAGGAAAGGCAAAATGGTGGTCCCTATTTGGGAAACTGAGCCAGGGTTAGCTGACCCTGTGTGGTGGAGAAGAGAAAGGGAACGGGAGTCATTGGGTAGGAGGGAGACAAAGGTTTGAGCTGTGAAGTAGGCTTAGGTCTGGACCCCCTCCGCACTTGATCTGGGGGTTCCCTTAGTGACTGGCTGTGAGGATGGAGAGAGGCCTGTTCCTGGAGGACTTCTCATCTGTCCCTGGGAGAGAGCAAGGTTTGAGCCTGGGGTCTCACCTTGGCTCCTCTGAGGGTTTTTTTTTTTTTTGTCTTTTTCGTGACCGCTAAAAGGGATCTCAACCCTCGGTGTGATGTCGCCCACACCGTGCTCAGCCAGTGAGTGCACTGGCCATTCCTATATGGGATCCGAACCCGCAGCGGGAGCGTCGCTTCGCTCCCAGCGCCGCACTCTCCCGAGTGCACCACGGGGCCGGCTCTCTGAGGGTTTTGTTGCAAGTAACTTCCTGCCAGATACCCGACAGGCCAAGTGGACTTGGGCCAGTTAGGATGTGGCCCACCACAGTTAAGCCTCCCAGGGTGTCAGGAACTAGCTCTGGGGAGTGAATATGAAGCGAGGTATCTAGAGCTCTTTTTGAAGGAGTCAGTAGGGTCCCGTTGGGCGGTGAATGACCCCAAGATGGTTTTCTTGGCTAGCCCCTGGACTTGGACCCAGGAGAACATTGGAATTGGCCTTGGCCTGGAGAATCTGGATGCGTGCTTATAGTTTATATAGGAGCCCGTGCTAGGGAGGAGCATTTGGGGCTATATTCCTTCAGCTGGGACCTCATTTTGTCCTCTTGTCCGAGGAGCTTAAGTGTGATGGGGGAAAGAGAGGCACTGAAGCCAGGCAGTTTTCAGGAGCCACTGGGACAGGAGGGCTCAGGGGCAGCTTTCTGGCAGGGGCCTGGTGGTCCTGGTGAACCCCAGCCTGGTGCATACAGGTAGCCAGAGTCAGGGGATCTGAGGGAACCAACGAGCCAACTGGAGCAAGCCATTGCTGCTCAGGGCAGGTGGGCCCAGACTGTGTTTTCAAGAGTAGCTGGAAATCTTGATTTTTATGGGAAGTCTGATTTTTTTTTAAATTAAGTTTAGCAATAGCTTCAAATTTTTTTTTTTTCCTTTTTGTCTTTTTTCGTGTCCGGCAACAGACTGCAACCCTCAGTGT